ACTAATGCACTTTATACTTTTTTTTTTTCCTTTTTGTCTTTTTTCGTGACCGGCAACGGATCGCAACCCTCAGTGTCGCGCCCGTACCGGACCGGGACCGGCAACGGGATCGCAACCCTCGGTATTGCGCCCGCACCTCGCTCAGCCAGTGAGCGGCCAGTCTGTATGTGGGATCCAAACCCTCGGCGGGAGCGCCGCCCCACTCCCAAGCGGCGCACTGTAGCAGTGCGCCACCAGGCCGGCCCCAGTTTTTAAAGCAATTTGAGATTTATAGCAAAACTGAGTGGAAAGTACAGAGAGTTCTCATATACTGCCTTCCCACACACACACACACACACAGATTCTCCTATTATTAACATTTGTTACAGTGATGGTACCTATTGTTAACTAACGTCCACGGTTTTCATTGGGGTTCATTCAGTTTGTGTTGTACACTGTACAGGTTTTAACATATGTGTAATGACACGTATCCACCATGACAGTGTCATCCAGAGGTGTTTCACTCTCCACAACTGCCCTGTGCTCCACCTACTCATCCCTGCCTCGTTTCCCTCTAGCTTCATTTTATTTAGGCAAAATCCATTCATTTCTCCTACCTCTCAAGAAGGAAAGTTTTTTTTTTCTTTGACTTTTCATTTATTATACAAATACTGCTAAAAATTCTAAAAATTTTAAAATGGAAGAAAGTCATCTTTCTTCCTAATACGTAGATTTTTCTCACTTGCACTTGTTTTTTCCATCCTATGTCTATATGAATAGATATTTACTCATAATTATAAGTCATAGTGTGACTTCAACCCTGTGTTACTCTATTTCACTCATCACTGCTTTGTAAGCGTGAAGAGTGGCAGGTTTGGTGGTTTTGACACTTGTGCAAAGACTTGCCTGGGAAACAGAGGACTGATGTTGTAGGATATTAGAAAATATTTGCAAGTAACATGGCATCTAAACTGAAACATTCATATGAATGGTAGATTTTTTTTTTCCTCATTAATCCAAATACTCCAGATTGAGATCCCATCTCCTGTCTCTGCATAGGTTTATGCCAGAACCCAACCTGCCTCCCCTGCTCCTCTATGATGCCACGTCTCTGCCTGCAGGTACAGACTCACAGCAGGTGATCAATATTGACCAGATTCGGGAGAGGCTTCCTGAGCTCCCCAGAGTGACCCGAGAGAGGCTTATTCAACAGTATGGGATGTTGCCAGAACACGGCTTTGCTTTACTGGTAGGTATTGATTGGATGCTAAAATGAACCGAAACTCGGCAGGTTGTGTTGTGCTCTACAGAGACCCCTCCACACACAGTTGGCTGCTGTGGGCTCTGAGTAGAGCGAGCACATTTCTTCAGTTGTACTGCAGATGCCTTTGATAAGAATGAGGCATAGTAACCTCTGCTCACTACCCTTTATGGTAAATCCTCCTTATAAAACCAGAAGATGAAACAGAATCTCATGTTAGTCATTTCTTCTTTGTAGAAATGAACAGCTGTTCACGGCAACCATACAGACTTCTTGAAGACAGTCTGAATGTTATGGATGAGTGGTGTTTTCCCATGTGTCTAGAGGACAAAAAAAAAAATCAATGTATAGGATTTCTAGATGTCTAGTAGTATTGAACCATGACAGGGTCCAGAAGGATGTTAGGTTCTCAAAAGCCAGCTAGTTGTTTTACCAATTGCAGAAGAAAACATTTATTCCACACAAAATGCTGAAAACTCTGACTAAAAGTCTCAGTCCTTTGAGGCTTGAGGATGCATCTAAAGGGGCCGTTACAGAATCTGACACCGTTGAGATCTGCTTAGGGATTTTCTATCTTTTTCAAGGTTACTTGGGGCTTTGTGGTTTTCTTTGTCATGGCAACAGCAAAGCCATCAGCGATTGTGGCATTTTGTCACAGTTGTCATCTTCTTGTCTGTTGGGAGGAAGTGGAAAGTTTTGCTGCTCATCTTTCAGGGAGTAGGTACAAGCAACTATGTTTTAGAGCAGTAGAATCTGTGGAAACTCTGGGTTTTTGCCTTTTAAATGACCAATATTAACTATATAGGGATGTTAGAATATACATATTTGTATGTGTATTTATACATATCAGTAACAGCGACCTAGCAGTTTATTGTACAAAACAGGCAATCAAATGTTTGTGAATGAATGATTCTCTTTTTATCATTTATAAACACCAGCTACTTTGAGAAGTATCCAGAGAGTCTTAAGTGAAAACTCCTCTTTTACTACCGAAAATGCTTAGGCATGATGAGTTATTTTCTAATACTCTAGGCAGAATTGATTACTGCCTACTATGGACTGCTCTTCTATCTTATTTATACTTAATAACTATCTTATTTATATAATTGCCTCTGTGGCAATTATATGGCTGTATTTTAATTATTTATTAGCCTATTTTGTTCAGCATCTTGAAGGCTAGGACTGGTTCATCTTCACTGTTACTCAGCTCACATTAGTACACCAACAGGGCTTAATGCCAAATCTTTGACTGTATGAGTCAGTCAGTCATCATCCCATATAGAACACCTTATGGACCAAATTAAGGCTGTTGAGGCAGAAATAATTCCATAAAGGTTTACTGAAAGCCAAGCTTGAGGATCGACCCAGGAAACACAAGCCAACTGAGTTGGAAAGTGCTCTGAAGTCTGCTACAAGCAAAGGCATTTTATAAGGAAGTTTCAAAGTGAGGTTTCAAAAGGGAGGGGGAAAACTCCAAGTACAGTTGTCCTTTTCTCATGGAACACAAGACCCACAATCATTGATTACTGATTACAACATGGAAACCAAAAGTATCTCCATGCAGCCTGAAGCAGAAGCTTCATGCTTCAACTATTCTTAACAATATCTAGATGGCTTATTCAGAACTGGCAGGCTATACATTAATAATAAATCAGCAGTTAAGATGTCAACGTGGAGTTCATGAAACTTATCCCAAGGCAGTGAGTTATGGAAAACCTGCCTCATTTTGATTATTTCCTTCATCAACCTCTTAACCTGAAACCTCTTTACAACTTGGGTATTTTTCCTAGGTTGATGTAACAAAACTGAGTTTCGGTTGTATGCATTTTCCCTTGACCACTTGAATTTCCATCCCACTTAGAATAAATACCAAACTCCAGACCTGCATTTTTTTTTACTATTTACCAAATTCTGTAGAGGATGAGAGGACAAGGACCAAGGCTGCTTAGCCTCAAAGACATCAATTACCTTCTCCATTCGGCATCTGACAAGTTGGACAAAAGACAAACCTTTGAATTAATGTACAATGAGCCAAGGCTTCCCGGCTGTTTCTTTGCTCAAAACTGTGATTTCAGAGAAGAATCTGGTAAATACAACTTAAAAATTCCTTTTTTATATCAGCTTTCTCCCTAAGAGAAGTGAAAGGACCTTTTGGAATATCTTCTCAAGAATACCGCTATTTCTGTTCTAGCCAGTATCTGAAGATATATGCCGCCTTCAGAGAGCATCTCTATAGGATTGTTCACTGGCCTCCGATGAGCATGTGACGGGCACAGTGTCTGCCTCACCTCGTTGAACATAGGCTTGGTGAGGGCAGGAGCATTTCTGCAGACGAGTTTGTGTCCCAGCCTTCATTCATGTGTCCTTTATGGTGCCAAACCTAGTAGGCCTTGAATAAATGTTTGCTAAGGGTGGCAAATGAATGAGTCCATGTGTTAATAGTTTAAGGCCTTGTTTAGCAAAACCCAGATTAGTTCAGCACTTTTATTAGCACGTCCTATGTAGCAGGTACAAAGATTTTTTTTTTTTTTTTTTTTTGCCTTCCAAGAGTTTATGTATGTATATACATGACACTACAGCTAACCAGCCCGAGGGCAGATTGCATTAGGTAGGTGTATAATGTAGGATGGGAGCCCAGAGGAGGTAGTGATGAACTTGATTAGGACAAAAAGGGAAAACTTCAAGAAGGATGGGATTTTGTAGCCATTTTTTAATGGGCTTAAAATTTTTTATTTCTTAAAAATGTCCTTATTTTTATAGCTTGCAGATAACGTATTAGGTAATTCATTTTTTTTATAAAGGGGGGCTAGTACTTGAAATCTCCAAGATAAGTGAGAATAGAATGAGAAAGAAGTGGAAAGAGAGATTCAGACAAATTGTTTCCCTGAAATTAGGCAGCCTGAGCCCTTTATGACTTTGTAATCATTGGAAGCTGAGTTACTCATAACATTCCCGAAAATGATATGTTTGTGTTTTTCCTGCCTTCATCAGAAACACAACAGATTGCTGAGAAGGGCAGATGCACAAATCTAATGAACCATCTTTCAATTTAAAGAGTGCCCAGGAGTATTCATTAAATAAATAGCAGTGGTGGAGGTGTGCTTTGCAGAACTTCAACTCCATGCTCCATGTCTTTGGATTGTTTATTAAATTAAGCATTATGCAATATCCACCCCCACACACATGCCTTACCCACAAATAATAAAAAACTTCAGAATTTAACTCTAGTCTTTAATTTATCCTGTCATTTTACAGTGCAGTTAGCACTGCATTATTTATTGTTAACATTATCTTTGATATTTACAGAACTCTAATATTATACCTTAGCACATATAATACCTGGCATACAGTGGGCACTCGGTGACTGAATGGACGGATGAATGAATGAATGGAATACTATTATAGTACACGTGAAAATCCTCAGAGAAATGGTGTTCCTGATAAAAGCATCCCTATTTCCAAAGGTCAGATATGTAAACTACGTTTTATAATCACGGGGTGATACACGTGTCATTGTATTCTGGGTGAGAAGACCTGGATTGCTGCTTCTACCGTGCCACACACCATATGCAACTCACTCGTCTCTGACACTTGTGTTCTGAACTGGTTTCATTAAAACATTAAATCTTCATTCTGATTTTCTGTCTTAGACCCTCCTGATAATTCCCTCCCACCAAGCCAGTGTTAGAGCCAAGTTCAAACCAGGCTGACTTCAGTGCCCAGGCTCTTTATTTCTAAATTTTATATCCTGCTTACATAATAGAAATAGAAATAATGTTTTTAGTTAATTGTTGTTTGGATCACTTTTGTTTCATAAGTAGAGAAAATAGAGTTTTTGCTTTTGTTAACATTAATGCTTTATGCAGTCCCACTAATATTTTTTGAAGTACAAATACAGACCACTTCTATTGGTTTTTAAGACGCCCGACTGCCCTGTTAATAAACATAAAGTGCTATCTACTAAATTTAGTGAAAATCAATGGATGACGATGAAAAGCAGAAATCATGTCTATTTTTCAAGTGGAAAAATTAAGTCAGAGAGAAGAAGAGTAATGTAAGTGTCCTCTGCAACTTTATTTATTTTGTTTCTTCAACTTTCTGCCGAAGGTACGTGGCTCCTTCTGTCTGAATCATCGAGAAGTGTCTCCACATAGGGCAGCGTTTGTGAAGTTTGTGGGGTGATTTTGCCTGGTGCCTCATGCCATTCAGCCTAGCACATAACAGGCACTTGATAAGAAAGAGATATAAGTTCACAGGGCAACTAGGTGTATATGAAGTCAGCAGACAGACAGATCTGAGTCTGATCTTGTATGGGAGATTTCAGTGGAGGAATGGTACAGCATCCCCAGTTTAGTGTTTCTCAAGGGCCAGCCATACTCACTGCAGTGCCTTGTGCTGTTTACATATTTAGGCACTTCAGCTTTTCCATGTTGCTTTTAACTCTCCTGAGTAGCCCTATATGGCAGTGGGTTAAAACACTGACTAAAGGACAGACACTAGATTCCAGATCTCACCTTGGACACATAGGACCTGGGAGGGCTCTGCAAGGATAATCAGAGCTGTTAACCTCCCCAGCTGAAAGAGGAGGGGAGTTATCCATTTACCCTGAAGATGACAGACACAGCAGAATCTTCATTGAATCTAAAAAAACTGAATACAAGTGTTGACACCAAGCAACATGCTAACATGGTTTGAGAGCCATGTGAGGCAAAATTTTAGAAAAATCCAGCATGGCACCAGGGAGACTATGGGGAAATGATTGTGAGCTCCCGAATCAGCAACCTGTGCTGCCATATGTGTGTCTGTCTTTGTATTCTACAACTTCATTTTCTCCAGCTGGTTCTTCCCCATTTAAAGTCATAATCCTTTGTTTCTGACATCATAGAAAAGGTTAAGGAGTCTCCAAGGGACAAAGAAACAGAAAAGATGTCATGACTACAGTTGGTTGTCAAATGGATTTGTATTTCAAGAATTTTACCTTAAGTTTCTAGTAAGCTAGAATGTCCTGGTTTGCTTTCTAGATGAATTGCCTATAATATAAATTTCCATGATAAATATCTGTATGTCCCATATGTAGTACTCCTTTAAAGCTAATAGACTGAAATAGTATCTGAAGCCATACTGAGTCAGTTTAGACTGCCCAAACTTATGGAGGTGCAAACTACTCATCCTCTAACTACCGCTGAAGGAAAATCCATTTGGTCAATATCATCGCACACCATATTTCAGCTCCATGCAATTTTCAAAATTGATTTTATTCTTTCTTTTATAAATTGCATTCAGTGCTTGCCAGCTTAAGGGTGCTTTTACAGTTACTCTATGCACTGGAAAAACAACCAATATTTTGTTCAGGTAAAGTTGAATAAAAAGATGCATCTTCTAACTCTTCCCCTGCCAACCCAGCAGTTCATTTCTTTCAGATGCAAGTGACGAGGTACTTTCAGAGGTGAGGATGCTCTGGACTCAGAGCCATTTGAGACCCTCAGGAACCTGCCCACTGGGGAGAAAGTGCAGAGAGGAGTGAAGTCCTAATGCCCAGCCTTGGGGACCCACTGGGGATTCCATCCCCACCCCATCCTGAAGCCTGATTTCCTATTTGTGGAATAGTTTCCTTTTTAAGACAAATAAAATATATTGTTTCAGGTTTCACGAAGATCTTAGAGAAGAAGAGCAAAGCCACACTGCCGTAAACTGCAAAGCCACACTGCCGTAAACTGCAAAGCCACACTGCCGTAAACTTTGCCGCTGTTTTTAA